AACACATTCTTTTTCCTTGTCCCTAGGTCTGTTACTCACTTTCACTGCCTGGGAGAAAGAGGCTTTTAACATGGACCAATATGCATGGTACATTTATTAAGAAGCTATAATTATAACGAAGCTTTAGGCATAGATATCAGGTTATATGATTTGATATCAAGAGCTGAATTATTAATGTTAATTATTTGTTAAACATCCCAAATATGTTAGATATTACAGTCAGTCCTTTCAAAGAGCTTAGGTGTTATTGCAAAAGAAATGTGTTTTTGTTTTGTTTTTCTCTTGCTAAGTTTAAACCAAAGAGGTAGAAAAGAATTGAAAAGTTTTACGATAGACCATTTTACCTCGAGGTAAAATAGCTGCTCCTAATGGTTCTGATTCAATTATTAATGTAAAGATATTTTACAGCAATTGTATGGGCATGCTTAGTGTTGCCAACATTTAACACACTTTTCATCATTGATATATCCTCTTCCTTCTCAAATACTCAACTAAATTTCTGTGCAACATTTTCTTATGACAAAACTTATATTTTAATTGCTTGTTTTTGCCTTTGGAGAATCTTCCATGAAAAATGTCGAAGTCACTCATTTGTCAATGATGTTCAATAGGACCATAATTAACTCAGAATTCTGGAGAATTTTCTCACAGTTCAGACAGGATTATTACTATTTTATATGCTGGAACTTTACCTTAGGATTTAAAGTGTTTTGACTGATGGAAGTGTCTCACACACACCATTGCAATCTGATGTTTCTACAAGAAACATTAAATTTGGAGGAGTCTTGAAGAAGATATTTTTTTGTAGGATATCAACATAAGGATTGCTTTGGAAATACAACAAAATGCTATAAGAAATATATGAAATGACGTACCTAATAAACAGATATATAATAACATAGCTGTTTAAGAATTTGATGGCAGACAGTATTTTTAAAAGACAGAGGAAGACAAAATAGCCAAGATACACTTAACTTCACTGATGGAGCAATAAGGCTTCTGATCAGAAATATATAGCAGTAGGATTTGTTTACAGACTTGCACTTGTGTCAGGCCTTTAGACATGTTTAACATTCATCTCAAGTGTATGTGTTTGTTTGAGATTGTGTGCGAAGAAGTTTTTGTCTCTTTGTCTTGTCCTTACTTGTTTCTCAAAGACAAATTTCTTTATGATAATGATTATAAATCTGTATTTTGACAACTTGAAGTGTTAAAGTTTTGGCCAATTTTTGTGTTTTATTAGGCTAGCATATGACTGTCTTATCTCATAATCTGGCTGAAGGAAAGTGTCAGTACAAGTGTCAATTCTCATTTTTATTTTTGTTTACTTGTGTTTGTATTGGTATTATTCTCAAAGCATGGTTTATTTGCAGGAAATGTGTAGAGCCATTCGTCCATTTGAAACCTGCAAAAATGTCTTCTAGAAACCTGCTTATCTGACATAAGTACAAATGAGACCTAAGCCTTGTTAAGTTCTAAGCCTTGTCCTCCCTCTCAGTGAAATCAACTTCTTATGTTAGGTTTTGAAAGTTCTGTGTCCTCCTGCATCCAGAAGGGAGGAATAACCCCAGCTTGAAATCATCTCTGTCAGCTTTAATTTGTGTCATCTTCTCAAAGGTTCATACTCTTATCCATGAAATGTCCATGATCTATTAATGAGTTACCTCATAGTACTATTTTTAAAATAAAATTGCATCATGCCCATAATGGCCAGGGTGTGCCAAGAAGCTATTATTTGAAGAATTCTAAATTTGATTGATTGAGGGGACAATAAGAATTAGTCAGAAAAGTTCACTGCAAAATTCCTTATTTTAGATGAAGAAAATAGATTTGGCTGGAACTGGAAAGTGGGTTTACAATAGTGTGGCAAAGGACTTTGTAATCTTCACAATGATCTTATACTGGGTGTAAGTTATATTGTTAGGGAATTTAATTTTTACAATTGTTCACTTTTTGGGTGGAAATTGATGAGGGAGAAGGAAAAAAAAGTAGAACAAAGTATCTGCTGAGTTGAATTCTGCACAATGAGCCAGGAAGTGATTGTTGGTCTTTGCTCACTGGGGCCTTTGACAGAGGCTGGGCTCGCTAAGAGGCCCAGCTTAGAGATCCAGAGTGAATACATTGTTCTCATGAGCAGATGGCCTTCTAAGTCATAAGTGCTGCAGGGAGGAAGCGCGGGGTGGTGGCGAAATGCGGTATCTAAAGTCAAAGCTCTGATTTGTAGTTTTAGAGCCATGGTTTTCATCTGTAAAACTTGTGGCCATTTCTGAACTCAGGAATAATATTCATTTTACCCACCTCTAAAAATTATTGTGAAGATAAATGTTTCATATGAAAAATTGTTAAAGTTGTAAATTTGTAAACAAATTTATTACTGTTTTATTAATAATATTGCTTCAAGAGCATTAAGAATTGGTTAAAAGCATCAACTCTCCTAAAATCTAAGAATTAGGGAAAACATTTAAAAGACTACCTCCACTTATTAATTAGTTTTCAATGATTTATTTCATTGCACTTTCTTATAGTTTTTATTTCTTAAGCGACATGTTCTTTATGGACAATTTATCCTAATTTAAAACTATGAATAAAATTCATTTTAATAGCTAACAAAAAACTGGAAAATTATTTCCTTTCTTCTTAACTTTTTTTTATAAACACTGTGTTGGATTACTTTATAATAACCTTGGAGATTATTCAACTCCTACAATGGACTTTGTTTTCCCTTAGAAGAACAGTATAGCATGTTTTCTTTAATATTAAATCATTAACCTCTTTGTGAAAAAGTTGGAGGGAGGATTGGAAAATTTAACTGATCGATTCTGTTGAGTTTTTAATTCAGGTTGAATTTTTTTCATTGTGAAAGTGAATTGCCACTACAACATCGTGTTGGCCCTCCTTTGTGTGTTATTGGATTGTTGTTTATAAGTCAGTACTCTCTGATTATCTGCAATAGTATGTGTAGATATGTTAATAAAATATTTCTCCTATATTCTGCCACTTAGTATGCTAACCTGTGTATGGCATCATCTTCTAAGAGAAAACACACAGGCTCATAGCTGCACTTTTCCTATGATAGATGCACCCAATCATACAGCACTGCAGAGAGTGATTAACTTAAAATAGTAGTAACCCTTTGGGCTTCAGGTTGTTTCAACTTCATAATATTTTAGGTCTGTTATTACTTTGGGTGAATTCAATTCCCCAAGAAGGATGATGCTGAATTAATTCTTCTGCAACTAACATCATCAATATAACCAGGCTGGAAATAAAACTATGTACTGCTACTTTTATGAAATGCTGGGTAACTAGTTTTTAAACTTATTTTACAAAAGCTGCTGAGTTTTCTATGCCCTAATAATGATTATGTGTTTTGAGAAATAAGTTTTCATGCCTGGCAAATGAGATCAAACACACATGTGCATACTCAAACACACACATATTTATTGATTTATTGTAGTGAATTCAAGAATGCTATTCATTGGATTTTCCCTGATTTAAGATGTAATAAAATAAGAAACTCTTTCAAAGTAAATCTTTCCTTTCCTTACTGCCTTCAGACGTGCCATGTAGTGGATATATGGTTTCCAATTTCTAAAGGTTCTCAGGAGACACTGCACATGTTACCTTACTCACTCTGATTATTATAGAATCACTCACACTTTTTCAGGGATTTAATATCAAAAATTAATCAAAATTTATTTTTAGAGAAAAAATAGACTGTAAAAATAATTGACCAGAAACACTTTTTGATGCTATTCTAAATATACACGAATATACTATAATCTTGGTAATAAAGAACTGGCTGTTTAAATGGATTTAATTGGAATACATTTGTTGAGTAAACTAGTAAATGATCTTTCTAAGATATGTCATTCCAACAAGGCTTTCAAATACACTGTCTTCTTAGCATTAGTACATAATATTATCATAAATTTACATTTTCTTTGAGACATCTACTAATTAAATTTTCTTTTGTTCTTCTCTCCTCTAGAATTGATTAAAATCTATTCAGTAAATAAGTTTCTGAAAGTGACACGAAACAGATGTGTCTGTAGGAGCAGTAATTCAAACAAGAGAGCCATTTAATTGTATTAGTGATCACGCTGATAAGGTTAGAGAAAAACTTCAAATAGCAAAATTAGTAAAAACAAGTTTACGTGAAATTTTAATGGCAAAAATAGTACAAAGAAAGAATGATATATTATCAAGTGTACTTTATCCAAAACAATTACATAACTTAATGTTTTTCCAAGAAATTTTAGGCATTCCACAAATATATTATGTTATGATTTACTAATGTATGTTTTCACTGATAGTTTTATAATGAAAAAAATTGTGAAATTCTGCACATCGTATTTCCCTTTGAGAATTACAATGTACACAAACTTTCTGAGAAATTCTACATTAATTGAAACTGTGTAGATATTTTTGATCGTGGTAAAATGAACGTAATAAAGTTTATCATTTGTAAGTATATAATTTATTGATGTTTACTACATTTACAATATTGTATAACTATCACCATTGTCCCTATAACTTTTTAATCATTAATTTGACTATGAGTCAATTTCCTTCTGGAGGACCTTTTAGTTGTATCTGAAGAATGTATTCATGGGTAACTTAATCTTATGCAATTCTCTCTCTTTAAAAAAATGTAGTCTTTTGAGATTAAATACTTTCCTTAAGATTCCATTTCCAGTTGAGATAGAGCTCATATCTCATCCAGATTTCCCCTTTTCAAGAATGAGCATTTGTATTTCAAGGTATTTTCTCTTTTTTGATTCATATTGTCTGGTTAATGCCATAGTAATCTACAAATACTATGTTGACATTTTGATTAGAAGTCAGTATTAAAACAATTGTCTCTAATCTTGTAAAAATTAATCTTTTATCCCTTTTGAAAGCTCCGCCATACTTCTTTTATGATTTAACATTGTCATTTTCTTATAAGAACACTGATTTTTAAGATCATTATTTGATGTATGCAATTCTGTTCTTAGGTCTTTTTAAGATCGTGGCCGATAAAACTCCCTACCTTACTATGGAGGAAATTACAAGAACAACCCAGATTGGACCCAGCAGACTAGGGCATCCTTGCTTCTACCATCAGAAGGATGTAGAACTGGAGAACCTCACCATAAAGCAGGGTGAGCAAATCACGCTCAACTCAGTTGAAGATGTCAATGGAGAATTAGTGGTGAACTGTGTCATAGTAAGGAATCAACAAAATCACTCATTCACTTTGCCTGTGACACAAGAAGGGGAATTCTACGAATGTGAAGATGAACATATTTATACATTAAAAGAGATTGTTGAATGGAAGATCCCCAAGAACAGAACCCGAACTGTGAAGCTTACAGATTTTGTAAATAAGTGGGATTCAACAAATCCATTCCCTAAAGACTTTTATGGTGCTTTGATTCTCAAGCCTATTTATGAAATACAAGGTGTGATGAAATGTGAGTATCCACTGAAATAGGCACTCTGTGAGCAGGAAGATTGTGGGGTTGGGGCAAAGGAAAGGTTTTAGAGCCCAAAGAGTGTGGCTTCCTCTCTGTTATATTCACTAAGTTGTTCACACTTGGGTTCTTCCATACAAAAACAAACCACGCATCTTTTGCAAGAATCAAGTTGAACATTAACGTGTTTATATGATTATTAGAAACTGTATGATGTTATCAAAACATAACGTGCTATAACCATGAGGTGCAGAAAGATTAAAATATCAGTTTTATTCCTACTTGTTAAACACAGAAAAGAGCTCATTTTTAGACAAGGGAATATTGGGTTAGAAAGAGGCTTTCTTCTGTGCCTGTGGTAAGAAAATGATTCAGAATGCCGTTTTCCTAGTAAGTCCTTCGGCGTTCATTTTTATTTCTATTAGTACATGTGTGGAGTAGACAAAGCCTGCGTTCCTTATGTGGAGTTGGTATACGTACACAATGCATCTTAATTCCTGTTCTCACCCCGTTTCCCTCTCCTTTCTCTGTCTCTTAATCCTCTTTTCACTTGAGAAAGACTTACCTCCTTACTCTCTATTATCTATGTTTATTTTGCTCTCTATTTAAAATTTGGGTTTCTTATGTAAGAAAAACCATGAGATGTTTGAGTGTGTGTATCTGGTTTATTTCTCTTAACATTAGCAGCAGGGTGCATCCATTTTCTTACAAATGACTCACATTTCTCTTCATGGCAGAGCAGTACTCCACTGTATATAGATATCATACTCCCTGTATCCCCTCATCTGTTGATGGACATATAGGCTGCTTCCAAGAATTTGTCAGCATAAATTATGCTGCTACAAATATGAGTTCTTTTATTGAGTTCTTTTATTTTATGACAACCTTCTTTTCTTTTTCCTCTGCTACACATTGCTGATCAAAATCTCACTTGGCATGCAGTCTTTCTAATTTAAAGAAAATGATATGATAAATTAATTATTATATTAGTGTGTTTGTTTTAATGTACAATCTTCATGGAATTGTTTGTATTCTAAATTTGGAATGTGTGGTAAGAACATTGTTATTCCAAAGGTATTAGTACTTTGAATTTTCAAGATTATGGTATAGAAATGGGATAATTAGGGAAGCAAAGACTTCAGAACATGAGCTAAAAGTAATAGATTCTAATTCTGCATCCATAACTTTGTAAGTAGTGGCTTTGGGTGAGCTTTTTAAATTCTCTTTGTCTATGCAAAGGGGATGATGATATCTCTGTTGCCTATCTCTTGGAGTTGTCTCTGAGAGTGAAATAAGGTATAATTAAAGCATTGCATGTAATCTTGAGAAGATTAGGTAGTATATAATAAGCAAGTGTAAAAATATCTGGTCCAAATGGACCTCCTTAGATATCTCAAAATGTTTTATTCATTTTCCATTTATTATTGTTGTTTATTTAACAACTGTAAAAAACTTGATATGAATTTTTTGTAAGTTTTAGAATTGTGTGTTAAATTAAGTCACACTAAAACATTTAACAAGAAATTAGTTCACTTCATTTTGAACCTGAAGTTATGTCAAGTTCAAAAAATTGAGGACATAGCAAATTTTAGACTGCCTACTTGTGTTTTGTTCACTATCCTAAAATATTCAATTGAAATGATTTCTCTCAGATTTTAAAACAGCATTTTATCATTTGAAAAGCTTTTAGCTTTCTAAAACTATTATAACCTCTACCTATTACATGGTTGCAAGTGAAAGTAAACCCAGAATCTAAGCACATGGGCACGGTGGTTACAATTTTCAAGGAATTTTGATCAAGGACCAGATCTCGAAGGATGACTGGGAAATAGACATCAGCGTACAGAACAGGTTGGGAACAGGACGGGCAGCTGGGAGCTAAGCCAGAGACTGGAGCTAGCCTGCAGCTGATAATAAACAAATTGGAAGGGCAGATAGAGATAAATATGCAGACATTCAAGGGAGAGTGCCATCAGTCACAAAGTCCTGACATCTCTTTGAAAGAGATTGAAATGTGCCCGCATCCAGGGTGGTTGCTAAACCAGAAGTAGAGATGGAGGTGTAATTATGTCATTTGGGTGCACGGCAGGATATTAGAAGTGCCTACAATAGAGATATCAATGGGAAAGACAGAGAAACACAGTTGAGCTTAGGAGCATTTAAGATACCCAGGAAACAGGATTTGGAAGTCAATTGGAAGGAAAAGCAAGCTAACCCTTTCTCTAGTCTGCTCGCTTGATCAACTTGTATTAAGATGCAATTAAGTAAAATTAAACATCAGAAGAATAAGGGTTGGTAAAGAATCGTTTAAGTAGAGGAAATATGTTTTCTGCTAAATCTTTCTGCTAAATCTTTTCTGCTAAAGCTTCTGGTTGAAATAAAAATTCTTTAATTTCCATTTGTTAATGATACTAAAATTAAAATTTCATTTTCATTGTTCTGGACCAGTTCTTTGGGCTTCTTTTAAGTATTCATCCTTATTGTGCATGATCTGGGGACAAATGCTCAATGAAACTGGCTCCCATGTGCACAGACTACTGGCTGAAGGAGAAATGCTTCCTGAGCTTTTAAAAATGAAAACACTCATTTTAAAATTTTTGTGAAATATAGGTGTTTTCCTTCATGCGAACTGTATGCTACCTTTGAACCAATTATAGTTTACATTTTTCTTTCTTAAATTGAAGATTCAAATACACTTTGAAATCCAAGAACACTGGAAAGTTGCTGCCCACAGGTCTCGTGTATCTGGTGTAGCCTACATCTCCCTTGGCCTGAGTCCTTTCTGTCTAAAGAGACAAGAACAGGAATGAACCTGAGTGGGGACAGGCAGCTTTACAGAAATCTTACGAGAAGCAAAAGGTGAAAATGACTGAGGACTACAGGAAGCTACGAAATATTGATTGGCTCAAAAGAGAACATAGCAAATAAGAAGACAGAATATAAGACTGTCTGCTCTTATTACTAGTTGTACTATGTTAGTGACAGTTTAGTCTCCATTTTAAAAAGAAACAGAACTCTTTAAATGGAGTGTTTGTTCCCCATATCTTGATCAAATCCCATGATAGACCAGAAACCCCTCAGATTCTCATCACACATATTGTGATTTTTTTAAAAAAAATTATGCTTCTCTAGACAATGACAACCCAGCACCACTAATTACTGGTTTTGCGAGTCAATTCATGATGTGTTTATGCTTTTCACAGGAAGATAAAATTCATATTCCTGTAGCAAATGAAATGCGTAATACTTGCAATTGTAATATAGATTCAGGTATTTAAATTTGCTGCATGAAAAAGAGGTCTTGGCCACTAAGTCTTTTTAAGTGGTTTTAAATTTTGATGTGTAGATTGATCATTAGTGCTGAAATTTTTGGTATTATACAGACTTTTTCCTTTTCTTTTGGGAGAAAAATCTCACTTCTGTGCAAAACTTAAAAGTGCCTCTTTGCTCAGATATAGAAAACATTAACTCATTTTGTAAGCAGAGAGCTAAAAATCACACAAGTGAATAGTACACTCAGAAAGGTAGTATTCAAATATACATTAGGTGATTAAACTGCAGCAGAAAATTACTTTGGTTTCAGTAGTCTAAAACTTCTTTTTTCTCTTATTTAAAAAAAAATGTTGACATTTACCAGAATAAAAATCCAAAGGGTAGTGAAATGACTTATTAAAAAAGTTGCCCTCAAATCTTGTGCCCTTGGCCATTCACGAACTTTCCCCAGATTGTGCTACACCAAGGCAACTCCTTTGAATGTGTTCCCCTACATTTTGGTGTTTGAATTTACATTTCCAAATAATGGGTATAGGACTGTTTTTCAGGTGATGGACTTCGGATAGTCACTGCTTATTTTCCCACATGATCACGAAAATATAATTCTCTTATATTTCTACTTCCCTTTCCCCAGAATATACTAAGTCATGGTTAAGTAATTAGCATTTTAATTATTGTGATGATTCACTTCTGAACCAAGAGATGTATAATTGTTTTTCTGTAGTGATGACCCTCACAATTTTCTTTAACTGGATTTCTTCAGTTCTCTCCAACATATTTGTGGAAAGAAAGGCACAGAATGATGTTGTCCACAGAGTCCAATCTGTTAGTAAATCTATCTTTTCTATCATTATTTCCCCCCTTGACGGTGGACCATGTGGAATCCCCCATCCTTATGTCCCAGCTGGAGCTGCTGGCTCTGTAGAACTACAGCACAAGTTCTGTCCTGGGACCTTCTTTTAAAACTGTCCTGTAGTTTCCTTTTGACTTGCTTCTGTGTTTTGACTAGCTGTTCCTGGAATCAAATAACGAACTTCTTCTTTCTTGATATGCTTCCACTTCTGATAGGACCCATTCCCCACTTGCTTCCTGAGAAAAGCGCATGGGATAGTAGTTAATTAGAGATGCTGCATTTTTCAAACATCTTTACCCTACCTACACATATGATGGATGGTTTGGTGACTTGCAAAACTCAAGGGTGAAAATAGTTTCCCCTTAGAATTTGGAAAGTGTTGCTCCCTTATTTTGCACCTTCCAGTGCTGCCTTGGAGAGATAGCCACGGGGGCCCACAGCCATGTGCTGGTGTGGGAGTCTGTCTTTTGTTTGTCATGGGGCAGATTTCAATCTGCCATTTAGGTTCTTCATTTCTGTAATGATTTCTGTGATAATATCTTCTCGATTGCATTTTTTACCCTCTCTTTCTTTAACTTCTGATCTCATATTAAAGCTCCATTCTTGATCTGGGACTCTCCTATTTCACATCTCTGTCTCTGGTTTTCCTTCAGGGAAAATGCCTTAACTGCACCTTCAACTTTCTTAATGAATTTTTTATTTTCAGATATTATTTTTTAATTTCTAAGAGTTACTTCTAATATCTCTTTAAAAATTATACCTGATCTTCTTTTAGAAATGCATTATCTTATCTCTGAGAGATTTTGCATTTTCTTTAAAGACTCTTTTATCATTACCTGTACTTAAGCTCTGTCCTTTGCATACTGTAGCTCTC